ACTTTTGAAAGTTGAAGCAATTACAAATTTCAAGGGCTGAATCTATCACCATTTCAGCTATATCAGCTACATTTACAAGTCAGTATTAGCTTACTGTAGGGGAGAGTCTAATGAACTGCAATTTCTCTTTAGATGTATGTGAACCTTTTAAAGGAAAACAAAGTTACACCTTTTTGCCTTCTCTTAGAAACTAAAATACCTTCTTGTTTTTCGTTTTGCAGCCCACTAATGTTCGTGCTACACATAATTTTGGTGACTTGGATCCTTTTAAATTTCGTTGGCTGATTCCTTTATCTGCTCTTCAAGTTCGACTGGGGAATACAGCAGGTAATTCCCTCGCACTGAGTACTCCAGGAATGAAAACTTTCCTGGGATTCTGCAATGCTGCTTCTTCTGTCTGTCTTTTTTTGGAGCCTCCGGAAGTAGGCAACTATAGAGAAAAGAGTATCCACTTTCAGGGGGTACTGGCTCAATACATGAACCTATTTTTTCCATTTGTTATGTTGGCATCATCCCTGTCCTTCCGTGAGCTCAGGAAGATGCAGGATGACCTGGAGGCTGACTTGCAGTGATCTTATTGCCGCCACAAAGGGTTGATAAATGGCAGAATGGAGATTCCCAATGAAAAGATACCATGACCAGGAAGGTATTCCACCATGGATGATTCTCTGTTGACACCCTTGTGTTCTTTGTGAGCACAAAAACACCGACCACTGTGTTTTCCCATGTGGAAAACTTGACTGCAGGATTTATTATAGCAGGGGGTTCTCTCCTTTTTGTTCTCTCTTTAAGTAAGTTGATCTTTATTGTGCAGTGGCCGTCAGTTGAGCCCAAAGGAAATGGAGTTGAAGCAAGCAAATACTATCTTACTTGTATAAGAGTCACAATCTATATAATGGCAAATGCTTTGCACACCTGTGAGCAGAGCCATGTAAGGCGGGAAGACGGTGAGCAGCATTAGAGTGGGTAAAGTAACTCTCCAGAGAGGGCAGAACTAGCAAGGCTGCTTAGAAAGTGAGAGTTCAGGGGACTTTCCTCTAGGTTCTGCCTCATTTGAGATCTTACGTGACCACTCTGTACTTGTATTAACACTGTCTTTGTGAGAGGAGGAATTTTGAAGTATATACAAAAATAACATTTTATTCCATGTGCAGGAACAGAAAACAGCTGTATCTGGGAACTGATTCACACCAAGTCAGAACTAGAAGGCAGGCCAGAAACTATTTTTCAATTGTGCAGCAGGTAAGCTTTACATGGAGGTTGTATTTGTCAAGGCATAATAATGGAATTAGAAAGAATTCACACTTCTTCCCCAAGTGACCTTTGTGTCAGCACTTGTAAGGCAGCTTTCAGTTGCTGGTTCCAGGCACCGAGCCAGTACATAACTGCATAAACTGTGATGATTTGAAATTGGAGTGAATTTGGCTCAGTAAGCCTGTGTTGGAAAGCTGTAGACATATGATCGTAAATCCCACTGTATTATGGGCAAAGTAACTAGCTTTGCCATATTCTTGGTGGGATAGCAGAAATGTTCTGATAATGACCCATTAATCCCAAAGCAGAACAGGTTATCTTTTGGGCTGTTTTCTTGAAGAAAAATAATGGCAATCAAAGCGTGAAAAATGCCTAACAACACGTAAAGAGGTTAGCTGCAAGACTGCTACCAAATAAATGGCCTGAAGCAAACACTGCACTAAAGCACCCCAGAACCAAGGAGGAAGGCAGATTTTTATACCAGTAGTGTCTGTCTTCAGAGGAAAAAGTTGGATTGTCTGTTTTCAACTTGCAGTGACTGCGAGAACAAGACTAACATTGTGAAGGTGATCCGTTCCATTTTGCGAGAGAATTTCAGACGTCACATAAAATGTGATTTGCCACTGGAGAAAACCTGCAAGGATCGTCTTGTTCCACTCAAGAACCGTGTGCCTGCAACAGCCAAACTGGGTAAGGCTCTGCCAAAATGCAAAATTCAGCCTGGAATCCAGGACGCTAGGAGGTTCACAATTATGAGCGTGACCATAGTGTGTCCTGTGCCTCAAATCGTGCTTCTTTTTCAGGCTGGGGGCACAGTCACACAGCCTACTCTCATGCCAAAGGCTGGAGGACAAAAGCAAACTTGCCATCTCCCACAATGTGTCTTCACCCTTGAAATGTCATTAGCTTTATTAAATGAAAACTTAATAGGTTCGAAATCAATTTTAGTGGGTAGAAATGGACTCCCTTGGCATCTAGTATTAACTTTCCTTCCTTTTGTTCTCCTTAATGACTCAGCTGTAGTAACATTAAAAGCTCAAAGAACTGATAAAAGGCAGAGGTCCCACTTCTTTCAGTGCACTAAATCTACACCCCAGCAGATACCCTAATTAAGTGCAGGCTTCAGATTATTTAGCTAAATGAGCGAGTGGTGGCTACTAGTCTTTGAAGTGCTCCATCTATTTAGCTGTCTGTAATGTTTCCAAAACATGATGGGGATCAGAACAGTCCCACTCAGGCCTCCACACTGGCCCTCCTGTCCCTCAAGTATCGGAACCAGTCTTGCTTTCCTACAGATAGGTGAAAGTCATTACTACAGTTTCTGCAAGATTTTGTACATACTGCACATGAAGACAAGCATAAAACCCTGGGGGTGGAATCATGGGATATATTGCTTGTACCAGAGCATTGCTTTACAGAGCCCTGGTGGCCGGTGGGGACGAGGGGTAATGGTAAATAAGTTGAAACACAGGAAGTTTAATCTCTATATGAGGAAGAACTTCTTTTCAGTGAGGGTGACAGAGCCCTGGAACAGGCTGCCCAGAGAGGCTGTGGAGTCTCCTTCTCTGGCGATCTTCCAAACCCGCCTGGATGCCACCCTGTGCCACGTGCTCTGGGTGTCCCTGCTGGAGCAGGGGGGTTGGACTAGATGATCTCTGGAGGTTCCTTCCAACCTCAACCATTCTGTGATACCAGAGTGGTTACTTACCTGGCCTTGGATGGTTACCAGATGAGACTATACACTGTAAATTCTAAGCTATTGAGACAGACAGTGTAGTAACAGTTACCTTTTGGCACAACAACTTGCAAGTGCTTGCACTTTACTCCCTTTGCACAGCTTCCACGAGGTCTCTGAAGGTGCTGAAGACGACCTGCAGCAGCGAGTGGAACAGCGACGCAGGGAAAGGCAACTTCCCCGATTCTGACGAATGCAGCTTGAGCAGCAGCACCCAGAGCAGCAGCTGCCACACTGCCGAGAGCACCCAGGAGCCCAAAAGTTCATCCCCGGGTAAACATTCCCCGAGTTGTGCATCAGACTTCTCCAGTGCTCTTGTCAAGGAGTCCGATATTCTCAGTGATGATGATGATGACGATGACTACCAGAGCCTCAAGAAAGGCAGCCCCACTAAAGATATAGAAATACAGTTCCAACGGCTGAAGATTTCCGAGGAACCGAGTGCTGACTCCGAACGAGATCTGGCCCCTGAAAATGAGGAAGGGGATGGCTTCAAGGCAGACAAGCACCCAAAGCTGGTGCGTGGCCATTTCTGCCCAGTTAAGCGAAAAGTGAACAGCACAAAGCGCAACAGAGGAACGTTGCTGGCCATGCAAGAACGTCACCAGTCCCTTGACAGTCACTCTGATGCTGCAAACATGGATCTGAACTCTATTTTAGAGCGAGAATTCAGTGTCCAGAGCTTAGCATCTGTAGTTAATGAGGACTGCTTTTATGAAACTGTGGAGAGGCATGGAAAATCCTAGCTTTCTGAGCACTGTATTTAAATTATGGTTCATTTTACGTCCACATAAAATTCAACAAACTTATTTTGCTTTAAAACTAGTAAATTCATGGAAGCCGCAAGAAAACTACTATCTATTCGATTTTGTGCACTAAGACATTTTTTTCCCCACAAAAACAGCTGTAAAGGATTCTTAAGTTATTTTAATTTATTGTGGATCAAAAATAGATTAAGTTGGCCAAGGTCTGTAAATTAGTTAACCCTTTCAAGCAGTTATTAAGATTCTGTAGTATTCTTGAGGAGGGTAGGGGAAGGATGGCTTTGGTAGTATTTTAAGTTATCTGGAAAAGATACTAGTGAGGTGATAGAGGCAGTTAGAGTGGAAAGTAGATTTATAAAATGATCTTTTAAATACCTTGGGCATTTTAATTCTTTAGTTTTCATTTTTGCTTTATTTAAAGCAGAATTAAGTTATTTTAATGTGTTTTAGTGCACAACAGTGCCGAAATTTCATTTTTGTAAGTTTCAAGATGTTGTTTATACTTTATATATATATATATATGTAAATATAAATACAAAGCTTGGACTGTAATCTTTTATTTGACTGTATTTTTTATTTTCTCTACCAGCCTGTACAGTAAAAGACAAATAAGTATTGTACTTAGCAATGTTTTCTCCTTTTTACTGTGCTGCTTTTCTCCAGTTGGAGATTAAAGCCCTGAGTTCTTTGGTTTGGCATAAATGAGAAGGAGTATTAGCAGACCTTAAAGTAATCTGTGCACTTTATCCTCCTTTAAGCTGGTCGCTTGAGTATATTTATACACAGCTTTTGTTTTTTAAATTACTCTGCACAATAGGATGTTCCAGGATGTAAAGAACACACACACACACACACCCCCACCCACCATGTTACATGCTGGAGTACAAAAAGTGATTTTCTTCTGATTCAGTACTGCACTTTTCATACAAACCTGATCAGTTCAGAAGTTTCCCAGCTTCATTACAGGGCTCACAAAACAAACCTTAGTTTTGCCATGTGCTCTGTCCATTCCATGAAGTACACAGAACTCACAGGCACCTTTAACTGGAATGTCCTTTCATTATTTCTACAGCTGAATGTAATAAATGAATAAAACAGGAAAGCCCTCTCCTCCAGGACTTTCTCAAAAGTGTATCTTTGACATATGAACAGATGTAGGAATATATATAAATCTTCTTTTACTGAATCAACACCTCTAGATCAAAGACTTGGAAAAAAAAAGTCTGCTGAAATTACAGCTGTTAGAGCTAATTCTTCTCCTCTTCCTCCTCTTCAATCCATTCTGAGTAACCGGTATTTTTTTTAGGTAATCTCTTCTTCTGCCTTAGTTCTTCTCTGTAATTGTATGCGAAAAGGTTTGGGTCTTCATCGCACATTTTCCTATAGCCATTGCACAGATTACTGAAGTGTGACATGGAGAGCTGAACAGGACGCAAAGTTGGATCAACATCTGCCGCCATCATCAGTTCTTCTGTTTTTTTCAAGCGTTCCCTTTCAGGAAACAAAATCCTAAACGGGAAAACAAAGGCAACCAAATTACTCATTTTCCCCTCAGAACGAAAGTAGTCTCTTGGGATTGTATTTAATATAGGTTTCATATTTAAGTATGTCATTACCTTAGCTGTCTCACTGCCTAACTAAATGGATACAAGAGCCTTTTTTCTACAAATGCAATTTATTTATAACACAGGAAAGTACATACATATGTCCTACATTAAACACAGCAATGAATGGTTATGCTAACATTTTGAACAGCTTACATAGCTGTATTAGAATTAGCCTATACTTAAAGAGCAACAACACAGTAGACTTTGTGCAAACAAAATCAGAGCCAAAACGCATGACTCTCAAGACAAGTGTTCCATTCCAGGGGGAAAGACATGGATATCACTTCCTTAATACTGCCAAGCGAATGCCAGGAAAAAAAAAGTCAAGAAAGAAGAGAAAGGCATATTTAATAATCATTCACTTGTAATATTTACAACTTGAAAAGGGTGCCTAGAGTTAGATTTTACTTACTTTATGGTCACTGATCATAAGAAGTCCCATCACTTCCTGTACTCTATTTGCTACCAGAAGCATTAGCCCCTCTTACAAGTTCCCCAAATCTTAATGAGTGAGTGTTATTATTTCAAGTGCCTGGTCAGTGTCTCACAAAAAGTGCATTATGGAAACTACTAAAAGCACTAGGGAACTAGCTTTTTATTAGCAGTCGTCCCTAGTTGATATGAGGGCAGGGAGGCAGAAATCTGTGTGTGTTTGGTGCATATGCTTCATCCCACTTTCAGATCATCTGCCTCGGTCGTACGTAGGTAAGAAAGAACTAAAAATGCCTTTATTACAATGCATCTTTCCCAGCCCTTTTTTCTGCAGGTTGCCTGGACAAGCTAGTCTAAAAGCTTTAGGTAAGTGATGGTTGGGCAGACAGAACTTAAGAAAGGGTTTAAAGTGACAGGAGAGGGAAGGGATTTCTCAGACTAGACTGAAGCATGTGCTACTCAAGCACATGGTCAAAATACAAAAACAAAAAAAACCCTCCACAATTATTTCAGCATGCCCGTCAGCAAGGTTGAAATGTATCAATGCTGATTTTGCTATCTCTCCCTCCCATTATTCTCACATCTGAATGAGTAGTTAAAAAATGTAGTTTGACTCCAAAACACTTAATTGTCTTTAAACCTAGGCTATGCACTAGCTTGCGTACTAGTGTGTACATAAACCCTCTTTGTGAAGAGTAATGCAAAAAATTTTTAATTCTTCTTTATAGACATGTTTACTCTTTTACTGCCGTGTTTCCTGTAGCTCATAGATGTTACACACATACTACCTTGTTTTCATACACTGTGTTAGATATAACTAACTCAATAGCCCCTATTATAAACCAGACTTTGCCATGCTTTTTCTCAGGTCAGCTCAAGCATAAGAAGATTGTGTTCCTTAGCTGCATGCTAGACTAAAGCATGATAAGCTGCTATGGGATATGTGACGTGCAGCTTCCACCACTTACCCTCAAAAGAATGTAAAGCACTTCTAGCGCTCTGACCTTACACAACGGATGCATTTGAGAAACTTTTTGACAAACATATTCCACCTAAAGCTCACATGTGCCTTCTGCTAACATTCTTTCTTTCACAAACAAAATTGAAAAATCAAATGCTAACTCACTTGGTGTTGGGGCGGCAGGTCTCTCATTTTCTGAACAAACACATATTTGAAATGAGCACATCAGCACTCATTTTAGATCAAATGTTTGACAGACACCAATGCCACCGCAAGCAAAAATCCATACTCTCCCCACAGAATACCAGAGGCAGAATTCTATGCTTGCCTTTATACTAGTGACATACAGGGCCTGTATGGGTGGTGCCCAGGCTAACTCCAGGCTGCTTGAGGACCAAATCATGCCCTGCATTATCCAGACAACAGCCCAAATGGCAGCCAACGCCTCTCCTTCCCTAAGAGCCGCTCGGCCTGGTGCGTGTTCCTGCAGGGCCGCCCCTTACTGAGCAAGTAAGTAAGTCAGGCACGGTGTCTGTGCTAGGGGTTAGCGAGATATCCCTGCAGAACAGGCTGCAGTGGTCGCCCCTCAGCCAGATAGGGCTCCTTATCTGGCATAAAATTTAAAGAGGCAGTAAGAATACCATGAAATGGAAGCCTAGAGAGAGAGGAATTTTTTAACCTTTTGACATTATCCCTAAATAAATAAGTACACTTTCCCACAGATCAAGTACATGCTCCCTCTTCATACTGCAAGCTTCAATTTAGAATTTTAAACTTACTTTTACTTAAACAACATCATTATGCTGATGCTCAACTTACACCTCAACAGCATTTGTGTAGTTGCTTGTATTTTTGTGCCTTTTTTAAGGTCTGAGAAAGACTATCACCAATTTATCTCAGTAAAAGTTTAACAAACAAACAGCTTCGACTTCATTAACAAAAAAAAATGCAGTAATTGTTAACATAGTTTCAGCAGAAAGCAATACATGCAACATCTGATGAACTATATTGGCTTTTAAGCAGTTACAAATGTAAACAGCATGCATAAACTCAAATATATAGCTAAGGGTGCTTCTTGACTGATTTAACAGTTGATGCATTTGCAAAACAGTATCTGAAAGAGAATTCTTCATGAAAGGTCCTTACCCAATTCCACGGCAGCAATATTTTCTTCTAAACTGAAAAACACTTTGAACGACTTTTTCTACAAGCTTAAAGGGTTGTTGTATCTTTGGTTGCACCAGAGGAGTGAAATGCACTACGGCCACATCCACCTAATAAGGAAAAACAAAATACCAAGATATTTGATTTATACATATTCATTTGAGACATCTTCTTCCTAAATTTACAGGTTAGCCATCAGGAATCAATCAGACAAAAGAAGACATTACTGCGACAGGTAATATAGCTGTGTGGTGACTCATGTCACACTAATCGAATATAAAGATTTGCCTTTTCTTTCCAAGTCCATATCTTTCTCAGTTATCTACGTATTTCTGATTAGCTCACATTCCATTAACAGTTAATACTTTTTCCCCCATGATACTTGCTCCATCTGGAACAACCTCCATGTAATCTGTAAAGTAATTAGCGTGTCTTTCTTCAGATCTTTCCACAAGGCAATTCCGACACGATATACAAATGAGACAATATTCACTCTCCAGGCTGAAGGGCAGTTGGAGAAAATTGATATTATAATTAGAAATCAAACTCATTCCCTACATGTTTTCTATTGCTCTAGGGCTTTTTTGATATGTGAGCCAAGGAATTGCTTTTCAACACATTAACATTTTTAAATTCTAGTTTAGTCAAAAGAACAGAAAGTAGAAATAAGTTCACAATCAATTTAAGTGCCAAATGAACTTTATATTTACACAGTGTATCATAGTTCACTCTAAATCACACTTGAACGTTTCTGCACAGATTGCCCTTCAAACGTGTTTTTTTTTTTTATAGTTCTAAAGTCAGCTTGATTCACACACTGTCACTTCCCCTGTGACTAGAGAAAGAATGAAAGAACATCCTACATATATATCTATGGATAGACATACATACACATGTATACACTCAAAGGTGCATACATGTATAAAGAAAATCCACATTTTATCATATATAAATGAAGAAACTAAACGAACTTATGCATTCACACCTCTCTATTGTAACAGGCTGGGCTAAAAATCCAGTTCAGAACAAGATTGAAAAACATGCTAAAGTGTAATCTTCCAAACAGGATAGGAACAAGCACAGAAAATTTTCTGTGGAAGAGCACACAGAAAATCTGTATAATACTGACACTGAATTATGACAAAATTTTTACATGCCCAACTGTTAAAAAAATACAGTCTCCTATCAAAAAGAAAAAAAAAAAAGAAAAAAAAAATCAGAGAATGATCCATCTTTTCCAAAGGTCTGAAAGGCAATACTGGCTGGAGAAAGGGAAAAAAAAACGGATTAAATGTGGTGATGAAAAAACATACAGCAAGTTTTCAATATTAACAGTATTACTCATAATATTATCAATATTATCAAGTATATACTACAGAGTATTCTTCTCTATTTCACATTTTTTCTGAAAGTTGGAGTCAACAGTAAGCTTGTAAAATTATTTAAATGAATAAAATGTAAGTATTATAAAAAGGTTCTAAGAGTTTCTTTTAAAAAGTGAGGTAACAAAGCAAAACCTGACAGATGTAATCTGCAGACAGAAATGCAAATAAACACCTTCTCCAAAGCAACTTCTAAATTCTTCAAGTGCTGATAGTTCCTACACTAACTACAGCAAACTACTAGGAAGACCATGGGACCAAAAGGAAAACTTGAGCTCACACTGTATGTCAAAGAAAAAAAAAAGAAATGAAATGCTGTTTTGACAAGAGGTATGAAAAAATATTCCAGGTACAAACAGAAACCTGCCCCAAACGGAGTCTGCTCCTCACTGCAATCCAACCTCCTCCAGAATGGAAGCAATACTGCTAGTGCCACCCACTAAATACCCACACTCATTAGCCTGGCTGAGATACTGCCTCTATGACCACAGATGCAGAAACCAACTCCACTTCTCTGTGGCCCAATAAATGTATCGGGATATGCTTTGCTCTGGAACGTACTTCCTTGGGATCAGATCCTTGCTTGGAACACACTTGCTTGGGATCAGATCCTTGCTTAAACGATATTCAGCTTCAAAGCGTGCAGCTGCCCTGAAAGCAGTCAAGGATACTAGATGCCCTGCTCTGGACTGTAACATAAAATTGTTCGGAGGAAGGTACAAAAGCAGATCACCACAGATAAAATAACAAGTCCAAACACAGAACAGGATTTTCCAACAAACCTATTAAGTACGCTACAAAATGAGCGGGTCATAACCCGAATACTGATGTTGAAAAATCTTATCCACAACTTGGCTTTAACCAAGGACAAGCAAAAGCCGACATCTAGATTTTTATTCCAGAAAGATGATTTCATTACAGGAAAACAAACAAACAAACAAACAAACAAAAAACCCCAGCTGTTGTTCTTTTAGACTCACAGCAGTGTAACGAACATCTGAATGTGGCTGCAAGTTTAGACTGCAGCCAAAACCCACGGGCACTCATGACAGGTAAATGTAAATGTAAATCACTCATATTCCTTAAAAAGAAAAGGATCCAAGGATCCAATGATTAGGGGAAAATGCAGCACCTGGACATGCAAGTGCATACTACACCTGACCATCTAGCACCTTGCACAGAAACACAAGAGCTTATTTACACATATAAACATTTATTTACAATTTTGCCATGAAATAAAACAACACATTTGCCAACTCAAAATAGGGACCAGAAATCTGTCAGAGACTGCTTGGGATCTCCTAGTCCCCTCGGTCTGTAGAACCGCTATAAAGTGAGCTAGGAGGACTCTTGTTTTCAGGAATAGGAGCTGCATCTTCAGCAAGAATTGTGGAAGGGAAACCCCCCCACCAGCAGATGCAGGGTTCTACTAAAGAGAAAAACAGCTCAATCGCAAGGCTAGTGGGCAATAATTTCTACTTCTGAAACAAAACCCAACACTTTGCAGCATTTGCTCCATTGTAGGCGCTGTTTTCTTTGGAACCCCAGGAAAGCTGCCTGGTTACTACAGCAACAGATGCAGGGCAAAGCTCTTCGCTTGAAATTGGCCGCTGCTTGAGAGCCGTACGTGCTATTTTCCCCTAACGTTTTAATATGCATAAAATAGAGAGCAGAATTACAAAAACCCATATACTGTACACAAAGGCACTTACAAGTTACTTCAGGATAATTTTATTAGTACCTTCTTTTTATTTTTCCCAAACACTTCCGAAAACTTTACGAAATAATACTCCTTAGAAAATAATCAACAAACACATCACTCCACTGATACACGCTGAACTCTGAATAGTGCAGCAGTAATTCTCCTCCTGCCATTCAAGTATATCTTCAGTACAATGAAGTTTTATGTTCTAAGGCTGCATGAACACATTGCAAGAATACAATTTAACTCAGAGTAGCCTGCTCCCTGGCTGATAAAATCAACACTCTAAATCACGATGACCTGAAATGAAACAATTTTTTACTAATTTACTAATTGTTGGCAGGAAAGGTCTTATGTTAGGCAATACATGCATCTCACAACAAAGCTATTTTACAAGCAAACCCACCTACTCTTTTCCAAGCTGCCACTTCCTCTATAAGGAACTGAAATCTAAGCAGAGTGTAGTAAAACTTCATAATAACAGAGTGCTTGTCTCCAAATAAGGTACTTCTAAGTCAGAATTTCCACAAACCAAGTGTTCAGTAGCAGGATTTTGTCCATCTACAACAAAGAGGAACATTAAGTCCAACACCAGACATGCCAATCTCACAGCTTTCTTGTTCTGATATGAGGGTTTCATTTCGACTCACTTCTAACAGAAAATAATTGTGCCACTGCACTAACAAGAATAATCTAATCCTCACATAACAACAGCTTTGTTATAATTCACCTCCATTTACACTAGTGCAAGGCTCAAATCAGTCTCGGGGTTTAGAAAATTTCCCTAGAATATTTTGCCTTTGTAAGCTAAAACTTAAAAGAGCCAGAGACTTTTTTTTTTTGGCTCTTGGTGTTTAATTTCATCCGATGTCCCTTCCTACCTTCTCCAAAAGAACAGTGGTAAAATCAAAGATCAAAGGCCATTTTTAGACAAAAGTTGATTAATTCTGATGATATACCTTAACACACATTCCCCAAATACTTTCCAAATAGGGAAGGTATTGGTGAGTTTTACTGATATAAACTAAAAATATACAAACGTAACACACGTACAAGTTCAGATCAAAGCTCCATCAAGACTAAATACTGTCTCCAGCAGTGACAGGCAGCTCATGTGTGGAGCAAGGAGCACTGAGACAGGCCAAGCAAACGGCAGATTTTGTCCAGAATATCCCATCACCCTTTGTGGTCTGTGCATAGGAATGTGTTCAGCCTGGGTAAATCACACTCTGGTCCCTACATTCTCTAACTGCTCCAAAGAACTCCAAATAGATTTATGAGACCTGACACACTTTTACAAATACATCCACATTTTTTTTTTAACAGTAGTGTTTAAAAGATTTCCCAGGACTGCAGAAAGTTTTTGACAAGCAGGAAAAACTTTCAAGAACATCTAATCATCTTATGTCAAAATGTATACATTACATTAACTTATATGGCACTTACTGAATCGCCACACAAGAGCCAAACAGAGGTTTTAGAAACTCCCAGATGGGTCAATGGTCAAGCTATTAAATTTCACCTTGTCCAAAAGGAAAACTCCTATATGTTTCGAAGGATATCAAATGTTCTTCAGTAGAAGACAAAAATAAAGAAAATGACTTTGTTTCCCAAACCTTTTGTAAAGCAAACAAGATCACATGGAAAGCATAAATTAGGTGCAGAACGTATGGTTGTAGCACTGCTCCCGTCAGCAGGATTCCTTCCCCAAACTTCTTGATTTCACACACGCACTTGGTGAGGCCACTTACCCAATTCTCTACAATTACTGTATAAGCCTTACCAGCAGGTTTCATTCCTTCATTCACTTGCACAGACTTGTGGAAAGACAACAGAGTAAAGGAAAACGTACAGATGGCTAAGCCTATGGGAGAGAGGGGCTCTCGTACAGATGGCTGTTAGGGAGAGAGTTCGGTAGTTGAAATGTACTGCGCTTCCAATTACAAATTAAAACATATTGCATAGCGCTTTCCTAGGAAATGTAAACTCATAAGAAGATTATCCGTGATTAAAAAAAACACCCTCTGGCTCTAGCTCTCAGTTTGGTGGAAATGATTTCTATCCCTACTTTTAAAAATACAAAACTCTATACAATTTCTGATTTCTCAACATTTTCTTGCTGTTGTCACTGTTTGCTGTTCTCATCTTAGAATCTATGTTTCCACATATCTTGGACTAATGGTTTCCATTAATATTTTTCTCTGTAATCTCTTTGCTTTCCCTTACTAAGTGTTTATCAAACAAAACTCATTAAACAAAGTAATCCTTTATTCTCTGGTGGATGGAACTAACAGAGGGAACAAGCAGCAGTACTGCACTTCGAAGAGAGAAAAAGAACAACACTCCGAGAGAAGAGAGAAAAAACAGCAGCACTCTGAGAAATTTTTGTTAATACAAGCCAATGCAGTTTTATATGAGAAGCAATAGCTCTGTTCAAGAGAACTTGCATTTTTCCAGGGCATCTACAGTGAAGAAAACATCTTAGACCTCATATCCGGCAGTAAGTGCTACACAGAGGAACGTAAAATATCTGTATCTTTTATTACACTGTATAGTGCTTATACTTGAGTTTGTCGTGCCTTTGATTTATTTCACCCCATTAGCTATAATGTATGACTACTGTTTGCAGTGCTTTGGGTTGGTGTTTGCATGTTTGAATATGCTGAAATTAAAAAAAAGAAAGCAGCAACAAGAAAGGCTCATGCTATTAATCAGCTGATCCAGCCTATGCTTCCGAATGAGAGTTTTGCACTATCTAGACCTGTCAGTTCCTTGGGCGAAAGAAGCTCCGCCACCTCTCATGGGGGATATTATGCAGCAAATTATACGTGTTCGTCCAAGCAGCTCCTCACAGTTCAAACACACTGAAAGGATTTTGAAACAACCAAATCTTTGAGACAGTATTTTAAAACTGAGTAGCTGTTAGTATCCTCACCTTAATTATAAGCCTTTTAAAAAATATATGCATGACAGAAATAGCACATCTTCAAATAATTACCTGGACTAAGGACAGTAAATAAATTCTAGTTCACTTACAGATTACTTCCTACATAATGCTGTTGAAAACTTTGTTGCTTAGAAAGAATACATATTCATCAATCACCATCTTACAGAAAATAAAGTGAAATAAGTACAACGCTACAGAGATTTTGTGTTCCACTTATTTCAACTTTATCCCCTACTATTTCATCTTTTTTTCCAAAAGTCCTACTACCGAAGACCATTTTAATATTTTCTTCATATTTGGACAATATAAAAAGTTAAGAATCAATTAAAACAGCAGGTCTTAGAAATCATATTTCAAACTAAAAACTTCTCTTTATCAGGCTAAAAAATATTCAATCTGTCAACTGCACACCCCAACTCCAAATGCAGGACACCTTTAGCTTATCCTAACCCACAGGTTTCAAATGATTTTACTCTATCTGCTATCCCAAAGCCTCAACTGATGTAACAGCAACAGTTCTGCATTCCCACACGCACAGCCATTTTATAATACTACTTAAATGTTCTTTCTTGTCAAAAGCAATTTGACCATTCATGTAAGAAAAGTAGAACGTAGTTTTGCAAAGAATTTTGAAAGTAATACTACGTGGCAAATTTGCTAGTGATTTCAGGCAGACAAATGACCATAAACAAACAAATAAATAAAAGGACTTAACACAGCAGAGCTTTTCCTTATCAGTGCGCTGAAGTATTTTATGTGAAAGAGAAGAATGTATTTTATTTTCTCTTGTAAGAGACTCTTGTTCCAGTTTGTTGGTCTAAGTCAAGGACCAAGAATCCTATTTCTGAAAATAAATGTTAATTTAGAACACATACTTAGATACGTGGCCACTTTACTATGAGAATACAGCAAAACCTATACACCATCTCATTCTATCAAAAGCATTAAATTTGGAGACATTTATTAGATAAAGTTTCAACAGCTGAAATAAAAGGGTGACTTTTAACTATACTTTATAGAAAAGAAAATATTATCAATGTTCACAGTTATAAAAATAGCTAACAGGAACAGACTGCAACCACCTATTCCATGTTTAAGAAAAGGTATTTTATGAGTGATATTTCTTTTCCGTCACAGTATTTGTCCAGAATGGCTTATAAATCTGCAAGTTTTTAGTGTTCACTTACAACACGCTTTTGCAGAGCGAGCCAGCGGTCTGTGCATTGCAGCTGAACACAACTTCAGCAAAACAAGCCACGCTGGCTGGCTGGCTGGCAGTCGTGTCCACACAGGCAGCTCCTTACAATCAATTCTAAAGCACCGTCCATTTGTCATCATTTCTGTTCAAGTACCTTCTGCACAGCTGCTCAGCTGCTCTCATCTGCTACAGGGTCACGTTCAGATATTCATTCAGATAGCTCTAATTTTAAATGCAAGCTCTTTTGTTTGCTGATTTCTTTTTCTTCCCCCCGCCTTTCTCCTCCCCCCTCCCCTCTCCCCATCACACAGAGAGACGGCTCCAGCTTTGGCTGCGAAGCTACCAACCAGTTGCGCACATTTGCGAGAGAGAAACAAGGAGACAAAAGGTGACAGCAACTCATCCCCATGGCATCGGCAGGTCTGCAGTGCTTTGCTTTTATTCTAGCTTTGCTTGGCATTTTTGGAGACATCACGGCCACTCTCCTACCTAACTGGAAGATAAACGCGGATGTTGGTTCCAATATCATAACGGCCATAACGCAGATGCAAGGGCTGTGGATGGACTGCACGTGGTACAGCACTGGGATGTTCAGCTGTACCCTGAAATACTCTGTGCTCTCTCTCCCTGTCTACATCCAAGCTGCACGGACCACCATGGTACTGTCTTGTATCCTAGCAGCTTTCGGGATTTGCATCACGACAGTTGGGATGAAATGCACCAAGTTCGGAGGGGACACCGACAGCAAAGGCCACACTTGTTTCGCGGGAGGCGTTTGCTTCATTCTTTCAGGAATCTTTGGATTAGTACCAACATCTTGGTACACAAGAGAAATAATCTCCAATTTTCTGGACACAACAATTCCGGAGAGCAGCAAACACGAACCAGGAGGAGCTGTCTATATAGGATTCATTTCAGCAGGGTTTCTGCTTACCGCAGGTGTGATCTTCTGCACTTCCTGTTTTAAAAAGCAGCAAGGACCATGGATTTACCCTGCAAAACAGCAGCACTTCCCATCCACACAGCAAGAGAGCAATGCAGGTTACAACCTGAAGGACTATGTGTAAATCTGAAGCTTTTTTTGTGCTATTTTCTAAACAGGCTTTTCTAAGCCTGCTCATTTTAAAGAACACATATTTTTCTCATGTCAAGGCTGCAATTTTTAGTAAGGCATTTTTACATTTAATGACATCAGCAAAAAGAATGAGGTAGGAAAGGTAGGAAACAAAGCTTAAGTCTGCTGCAAGAGGATTTTTTCTAATGCTTTTGCAAAACTGGTTCTTTCTGGCTTTCCAAATAAAATTTACTGGAGAAAAAGGAACCATTTTAAACCGCAGTTCTCAGTACAATTAAATTGATAGTTTGTTAGAGCAAAGATGCTTAAAATACATTGACACCTATTTAGCAAATCTGACTATCAGTAATGTATGATGTGTGGTGATGCAATTTACTTTTCATTTTTTATTTTAATTGAGATGAAAGTAAAAAAGGAAGCACTCGCTGTCCAAGAAGCTCTATTCATTGGTTTTTAAGACAAATCTGCCTTGCACTATCAGTTCTCAAATGCCTTGCCAACTAGATTTCTTTTTTAAAAAATATATTTTGAAAAAATTTCCCTCTGCTAAACAGTATTTTATATCTGCATATCAGGCTGAAGAATTAACACTATCATTCAGATATTGTCAAAAAAAATTATTCTCCTACCCAAACTGCTACCTGCTGTGAGTTTTCACTTCTAATTGTAAAAGAAATGACTATTAGGCATTCTTCAGTTGCTACAAATCTACTACACAACAAATGCTACACAAAAATGTTAGATTTGAAGAGCAACACAGGATCAGAAGTGGCACTATGAATAAGAAGACTTCTGAAAACTTAATAAGGAAAACACACAGGAAAACACACACTAAGTAACTACATACGAGAAAAATCTCTGAGTGTTCTGGCTCACACTTTCTCAAAGCAGCTTTTACAGCTGATACACTACAGCTACCACTTACCGTGTCTTGTGCATTTCTAGCCTTCTAAGGAGAACTTAGGAATATGGTAACAGTGGACAATCCTTACAACAAAAGCAACTTAAAAATTTTTCTTATTCCCATACCACTCTTGGTTGCCAGGTTATTACCTCAAGTTCACTCGTATACTACAGAACAGCAGTAATTTTATATATACAGTTAGCATAAAAGACCTGTTGCAAAAATTAAAATACTCTATCACAGCACTTGAGAAAGTGAAACTTATATTACACCCAATAATGCCAAGTCTTTGTTCCATAACCTCTGAAAGGAACTACAGCTTACTTGTACCACTATTATTAGGGAATAATTTTGAATTCCTATCTATTAATCCAATCTATTCAGCAGTTGTTCATTAATGCAGAGATTGAAATATGGGCAGAACCCCAGATTTTCTTTGTTAGACACAATGTTGTACAGCACCATTCTGTTCCATAATCAAGAGTTTATTACATCTCCACTTTTATAGGTACTGTTGAAATATTTTTCATTCCTTAGACAAACAAAGTAAACATTCCCAAAAGCACGCCTGTCAACCCTTAGTAAGGGCTCTGGCATTAACAGTAAGCTGTGATCATTGCTAACGCGAGTTCGAACTGACATTTATTAAACAAGAACCAAAAAAGTTTTAATATGAAAGCACAGATAAGAGGCAGTAATTCCTCTTTGCTTTACAAGCAAAAACGACCTCTTCATCTGTTACACACAGAGCTCAAACTTTTATTGCTAAAACTATATGCAGTTTACACCTGAAGTTCTTTGTGTATCTATGAAATAAAATCTGAGCATTGAGCTATTTAAATTACAATACACTACAACAACCTTCCATGACAAGAGCAGTTCTATCTGCAATTGTAGTTATCTGAAGTCATATGTTAATCTAGTGCTAAAACAAATAGGTTCAACACAGAAGATATACTGAAGGAAAAAAAGGCATATTGAAACAGGTGCCAGGCCTGAGTGACTTGTATTTTCTGCTTTTGGCATGTGGTCAGCATTTGTTTATGCTCAAAGAAATGTATTAATAAATACATTCTTGCTTTTACCTTAGTGTCTTTTTTTGAGAAGTCTTTATTCAACTGATCACCAACTGACTGCAGGATTTCTATGCTAAGACATTTACCAGGACTCTATGGGAAAGGTGCTCTGAGGCAACTAAGGTCTTTTTGGTAGAGAAAGTAGGAATATTAGTCATAGCTTCCTAAGTTTGAGATTTAGTCAGCAAAAGACTTTTGACTGCACTAGCACTACCATATCCTCAAACTTAAATCCAATATTTAAAAGAAAATAGGTGAAAATTGGAACTGAACACTATTTCACAGGCTTAACGGTGAGAGGACTTCCAGAAGCTGTTTCCAAAAACATCCTCAAAAAAAAAAATTCTTCCTTTACTCTCACTAAAAACATATATTCATTTACAATATCAGATACTTAAAATAGTTCTTGATTATTGGCCTCTTAAGAAAAAAAAAGGCATATTGCTAGTGCTTTTCAACGACTTTAATGGCATTCTCCTAAAGAAGCGTCACTATTCATCATTAGTACAAAATTAAGTCATGACCTTACATTACAGGTCTTGCTATGGGGATCTTCTTTAAAGTGGAGAAAAATGTTACAAAGAGAAACAAGCATTTTAATTTTTGCTTCAACCTGTACTACATGTGGATGGATCATCACAACTGAATTGCAATGGTCTCTTAAAAGAGAAAATAATCAGAAATAGTAGAATTAATTTTTGAAGTACTAAAACTATGTTTAATATCATGGTATAAGTTATAAATCAAAATTCACTCACAGGAAATCCGTAAGCTTGATGTATAGTTAAGTCACAGCAGAGAGGAAAAGAAAGTACACAACAGTACTCAAACTAAAATAATAAACCTGGAGTTCACTAACCCTCATCTGAGATGACTACTACAAGATTCATCAGAAAAATAACACAGCTCAAAGTAGAAGCTATATATCTATATATGTCCATGAAGGAATGATCCTCCCCACTGTTTTAGCTAATCATTCATCTATCCTCCAAAGCATGATAAATTATGATCCACTTTGACAAAATATCTGCATATCATTACCTAAAATGCTTTAGGCTCACAAGTGCCATCAATGCTTTGGCTGAGACAGTTTTTGACACAAAATTCCAGAGATTAATGCTGTTTTAATATTTCTTTTGTTAGCTTTTGGGTAATCTGTGACTCTTTGACCACAGGCACACTGCTCTTCAATTTGATTCCGTACACTACTAAACACTTCCAGTTCCTAACTCCAAAGGCTTTAAAGCGAATTACACGCATTTGACACCTCTCATTACCACCCTTTATTTATTTATTTATACACAACGTCTCACCATTCAGGGAATTTCTCCACCAGATAAATCTACAGCATTCTACTACTTGACTGAAAAGTTAATCAAAAAATCAGAGAAAGACATCGATCCTTACCTGCGGCTGTGGAACAAAGGCTTCACCTGGAATTATGAAAGTGTTTTCAACAGAGCAGAGGTGCTGAGACATGATGGACAGTCTGCTGCGTTGCCTACCTCCTGGCTTAGCTGTGAGCCTCTATGGAAGAATCAAAACATTAGAATCAGCAAAACTGAATTGACCAAGAGGAAAATATACTAAAGCCATATTTTCAGTATAATCTAAGGTAAAGACACATTGAATAAAGAAAAAAAAAAGAAAAAAAAAGTAACAATTAAACCAATCTTTACACCCCATCCATCTAGAATTCTTTTCTTCCCCCCATAAAATAGTATTTCCCTTATCGTATTAATATACATTTCACTGCCTTGCAGTCAAATGCAAATGAAATGCAGCAAAGTGACCTTCCGTAAAACTTTGTGGAAGTCAAAATAATTTTGTATGAACATAGAAGACTAAAGCACTTCTGACTGCTGGATTCAATTCGAACATCTCAGTTATTGACAGTATTGGTATATTCTTTCTTTACACTGCGTCTGTATCAATTCCCTATCAAGAACAAATTGAGCTCCACAAACCTGAAAAACACCTCACAAAATTTCTGCATTATAAACTACTCTATGGCTACTACCGATGTAAGGACATTGTATCCACTTTATGTAATTTAAGAATACCTAGCAATACAGAGCATTTAACAGTTCAACTCAGTAATTCGTAGAATACAACAAGAAATTTCTCATGAGGGTTATCAAAAATTCTGTATGTTAGTCTTGTCGACTAAGTAAATAAATAGTGCAACACTTTTGGCAGCTGGATTCTGTGGGAATCCAGAGATGTCCCAGTCCTTCGGCAGTTCGTCACTCTGGTTTGTTAAGACTTCTGCCCCCACCGTAGAGGCAGTTGGAGAGATCATGTGTCACAGAGGGCATCTCCACTTCAAACAGGGCTTCTTAGGACGGATCTGTCCATGTTGGAGCTTTAGCCAATATGCTGGATGGTGAACTCAGACAGCTGAGATTCCCTTTTACTCAGTGGGAAGGAACTCAGACAGCAGACAGGAGCAGCAATCTGCTGAAGTACACAAAGCAGCAGCTGTCTGTCAACATCCAGGCCTGTGGAGCAAGAACACTCCAAAATGTTTTATTATATTAAGGTAAAAGAATTAAGTAATCAAGACACACAAAGTTTTCCACACTTTCATGATCTGTCAAGAAATATGTTCTGTATGTTTTGCTAACACAAACAAGTTCTAATCATAAAAGGCCCTAAGTAAAACAATCCTCAAAAAACAGCTTGATAACACTACATTAATTAAATCAAAATGGAATTTTGAAGATTCTTGTTCTTATTTACCATTCCCTTAATCACGAAGAAATGATGAAAATGCAATTTGCGTATCTGGGAACATCTGTACCTCATGCAGCTTTAGATGGAAACCGTGCTCATGAAATGCTGCCATGAGTATTAAAACTATGCCTAAAAAAGGTATTAAACCTATCACCAAAGTTTTTATTTTATTTTTATTTTTTTTAAAAAGACTCCCCTGAAAGGCAATTTAACTATTAGCACAAAGTAAATAAAGTATTTTTAGAGAGGTCGTTTTAGAAAGAAAGTGCAATGATTTTTTTTTTTTTTTTTTTGCATACAGCAGCATTTAAAAGCACCTTAAATATTGTTTCAGAGGAAATCCATTAAAATCCATCAGGTTTTTACTCTTTGAAAAGAGAAAAAAGAAAGCAAAAAAGGAAAGAAAAAGCAAAAAAAAAAAAAAAAACCCAAGCACAACACTACAAGGCCAAGACTGGAAAGTCTACCAGTGCACTCAGCTATGCCCTCCCCTAACCTCCATGCAATGCAATGTTTCATTTTCCTACAATGGCAAGGAGACAGACCCACGGCGAGGTATTCGAATCCTTCCACTGCCAGTTTCAACAAGCCAGTCCACTTGCATGGAAACACGCTAACACGTCTCAGACAGCCAGTTCCTCCACTTCAGCTACACACGACCTTAAAAAGATCCAGCTCTGAGCAGTACCTTTAGAAGAGGCTAGGAATGTACTTTCGTAAGCAATTTTTGTAGGCTTTTTTACCCCACTCTGTCTCAAGATTTTCTTTGTTCTTATAGTATAGTATAGATAGCATCTGCACTAAGCTACCCATGCTACAGTTCACCTAAAGGGACAAAATATTCCTATCTATTATTAATATTTTACCAAAGCATAAAGTAGAACAAAGATTTGGAAACCTAATGTGGTTAGGTTAAATGCCTAACCATACATCAGGTTACCATACAGGTTAAATGCCTAACCATACATCACCTTTACTCAAGGTGATAACTAAACATCTCTTTCAAGCCTTCTCTTTCAATCAACATCTCTTCAATCTTTTTACTATCAACTGCTCTCAATGACTATCTCATTGGCACCACAGCACTTCGTTTATTCTTCAGTATCATATTACTTGGGTTTTCTTCATAAAAACATATTAAAAAGTCCATTAGCAAGTTTGCAAAATCTGTCATAGAAATTAACCTACATGAACATACAAAACCTACATTAGGTTATGTTAGGTTATATTAGGTTATGTTAGGTTATCAAAGGCTATGAAAAAGGACCATATGAAGGAATATTAAACACACTTTAGTACACAAGCCAGTTTCTGCCAAACTGCATTTTTTTTAAAACTTGAGTATTTATATTTAACCTGTATTAGTTAGGAAAATGTAATGGTATTTTTTCATCCACTTGTTGCTGAAAAATATGTGTTCTTCTACTTTATTAGCGCGTTTTAACCAGCAGACGGCAGTGTTAATAGAGTGGTTAAATACTGAAGCTCACATTCTTCTAACATGCCTCTAGATAGCAAAGCAGTTAGAAACACACCAGCTGTGCCAATGGAAGAGGCTCCTGCCCTCAGCCTCACACCTAACAGGCTATGACACCTCCTGCCAGCCTGCAGAACTTTAGCAGAACAGTTAGGTGAGCTGCTATTCACCCTGATTTACTGAAAACTAGAGAGGGAATGGATATTCATTCCTCATGCTTCTGGGCCATGGATCTCCTATTTAAATTGACTTATTTTAATGGAGCTCAGGATGTACTGCTCTCAGGTGGCAGATTTGAATGTTTTTCTCCCCCCCCCCCCCCCCCCAAAAAAAAAAAAATCAATGCTATTTTTACCACACAGAACTGAGGAGATCTTAACTAAGTGATCTGCCCAACACTGTGTTGCTTTCACTGCTGCAGATATCTGGTCTTAGTCCTTAATAGGTCTCAGAATGCAGTATTTGATAACATAACTGACAATTTCCATCAACGGTTTTACTCAATTTAATTGAATCAGGTGAGAACAGAGAGGTCAACAGCAATAGGTCTAAACTGACATAACTTATGCTGAACAGTTGTGTTACTAGGAAACAGAGAAAAGTGTCATCAGCAAGAAATGCAAAGAAACTTTCCATTTGTTACACCAGCTAAAACGAGCCTGACCACAAAAGAAAGTCTGTTGGTTTCATTTTTCTTATTGTTAAAATCAAGATACTCCAACTAGTTATAAAGTTAATGGTCTCCATAAGGCCTCCATATATTCTTATAAAAACATAAGATTTCTTTTGAATATAAGAAATTTTCCTCTAAAAGATACAAATCCACAGATACCTAATCTGGTACTGAACTTTTATGTAATTCATTACTTGTATTAATATTAAGATATTTAGAGACACAGATTTTTATTCTCATTCCTCCTGCTAATCATAAGACAAAACAGTCTCATGTGAAAGGCTACTTCTCTCCAAAATGTATATACCATGATGTCAAATCAATTATTGAAATGTAAACCATGCACAATGAAGAATTTTGGTCTTTACTGCGAGCTCAATGTTTAAACAAACATTAAGAGCAAGAATCAAGAAGTCCCAGAATATCAACTCAACCACAATTAATGCTGACGCATTACATGAACGTGTATCATCAATTTCCTAATGTTTTTAATTTCTCAACCTTTTAAGTACAAGGAATTTAGAGTGCATGGTATTTTATATCCCATTTGAGCTATGCTCAGAAGCACTATAATCTGCATGTCACTGGTGGCACATACAGCTGGTTACAGCTATAAAAAGTACAGAGTGCATTTACGTTCTCCATGCTATATGATGTTTTTCCACTGCTATCCCAAAACTCTGCAGCCTCAAGATTTTTGTATCCTCACTTCACATTTTTTATTATACTTTTCAATGTCATACTTTGCAATGTAGTATTATCTGTAATGGCCTGAAATCAATCTGGAAAACAGAAATGCCATGCGAGCTCAGAAATGACTAAAGCAATCTCTTTTCTTACATACTCAACGTTTGTCGCTAACGCTCTCTAGAGCCACCTGGAACCACTTCACCATTTACCTTGAACCTTGACTGCAAGGTCACCGTAATAGTGGCACAGAATGGTTTGCTAAGACCACAATGTTACAACAGACATGCCACTTGCATACATAATTACTGTTAATTCCATACTGTAAAAAGCAGTAACATTTTCCTTCTAGTGCTTTTATTTTGAAAGATTAAAATTAAAACAACATATACATTTAGGTCACATAGAGAACCAAATATTTCTGAATACTGAACTAATCGCATAAAAAAAAAGAACTGGCACATCAGTTTCAGAAATTTCTTTTTTTTTTTTTTTTTACACAGAACAAAATGCAGATAAAATGACAGTAGAATAGACTTTTAAGTCTGAAAGTACTTTGGAGTAAGTCATCGTAATATCAGCTGCTGTAAAAACTCTCTCTCACAGGGCAAAGGAAATAACTTTTTGTGTAATTCTTGAGATGATTAGAACATAACAAAAAAACTGACTGATAAAATGGTATATGAATGACAGACAGTCAAAGTTAAAGATAGAAATGTGTTGTGTTATCTATTCATGTTGAAGCAGATATACTTCAAAAAGAACATATTAAGCACCTTAGGGAAATCCCTACAAAAGACATCCCTACAAAAGAAAATTTTAATAATAATTTTGTTTGCTGTGAAAGGAACTGAGCCGATAATTAAATATCACCTTCATGATTTATAGCCAAAGACTGACACACAAACGGAAAACTGAACCAGCACTTTATTTCTAAAACCAACTGAGATGGTTTTGTACTTTAAATTATAAGCAAAATATTTCATGTGAACAAAGTTGTATTTATTACGTTTAAAATTTTAGTAGAAATTAACATCTTACCTCCCCAACTTCCTTCTGAAAAGTCAACGTCATCTGTGTCCTGCCATAAAAAAAAGGTCCATCCCTATTAGAAACATTTTCAAGCCATTTGATGATCAGAGGAGTTGAAACACTGAAGGGCAAATTTCCAATGATATGTATATTTGGTGGCTCTGTTAACATTTGGTGGACAAAAAGAAAAAAAAAAATCTATCAAAATTTTGAATAAGACTTTGGTATGAAACAGCCTATAAATAAGAAATGTGTATATCAACCTTGACTTAAAATATGAAAACATTTTTTACTACAGCACATCAAAATTATATATTTCAATCTATATCTATCAGGAACACTGATCAAACTGCATTACTGTTCAAAATCATCAGCTGAACAAAAAGTGTCTAGCCTTGGATTTCATCTATATTAGAATAAATCCACAGATTTCAGCTGAGTTATTCCAGAACAGCTGAAATATATATTTTAGGCAACAGCATTTCCATGATTTTATACTATAACATTTAGGTAAAGAATAAATACCAAAATTTATCATTCTATTCAATAGTTTTATGCCAGGTTCATTATACTGACCGTTCATAACCCCCAAATAACTAGTCCAACTGGATACAGTTCTGCCTGTGCACAAGAATCCTCTGAAAACAAAAAGTCTAATAGTAACCACAAGACTGCCTGTTAGTCAACAGAAATTATGCATATTGCTCAATGAGTGGGTATTTCATTAGTGGAGGTCCTGGTCACCAATCAGAGGTGCAATAAAATGGGACAGATATAAAACCTTGTTTCTTACATACAATAGTGGTTAATAATATGAATGATAAATTATAGCGAATTCAAGTTGGATTTCTGTCAGGCCTTACTTCGTGTGTACTTGCTAGGCTCTCTCTGATACTTCTATCATATTTGTGATTGTTCACAAGTATCAGACAGGAAAGTATCTTCCTGACAGGCACCAGCCTTTCATTTGTCTAATACAGTTACGTTTCCAAAAGGGATACAAAATCAAGTCCTAAGAAAAAACAAGGCTTGAAAAAAGCCTCTGATTATATCTGATATATGCCAGAGATAGCCTGCTGAAGCCAAAGCAGTAAAAAACAATATTATTTCTCTTCAAGTTTTAAAGATATTTAGAGAGGTTTCTTCAGTGGAAAAAAAACATAGGTGGCCTTGGGCTTATTCCAAAAGAAGAAGAACCTGGAAAGAAGGTATACTGTTTGTCTTACGTTTATGTTTTCCAAGAGTCATTATTATTGTACAGTGAGGACACGCTAATGCAAGAACAACTGCAAAGCTCTTTCGTAATTTGGACTAAGATGAATGTGACACAAACTCTGTATTTTTGGCTTAGAAGATGATTCTCTAATTGTTCCCTTCTAGAACATAAGAGAGATTAGTTGCCTTCTCTCTTCTTAACTTCCAAATGTACCAGCAGGAGAGAGTAACATCTACACTGACAGAGTGAATTCCAGCTACATTGACGAACTTAATTTAACTCAGAAACCTTAAAAATGAAACAATAAATAAACCACAATGAAATACTAACCATCCTCCCAGTTCTTTTTTAAGTGCTTTGGAAAAGCTTTCTCCATATTATAAGTAAGAATATCTCCATGAACAATGTGCACTTTTCCCGGAGCTGCTTCAGAGAGCATCTGCAGACAATCAAGCAGAAAGAGGTGTAGTTCACATTAGGTATCCAACAGATCCATTTACAGCATCAGCAGCAGCAAGTATGAAAGCATGTCCTGTGTATTTATCTCTATAATTATCTAGTATATTAAAAAGCATGACAGCAGTTAAAACTGTGTGCATTATTAATACTTACTTTCAAAATGTGAACATTAATCATCAACAATTTAAAGGTGCAATTTTGTAAAGGATTCTATTTACAGCTATGGAATCCCTTTTTCAACCTTCAATGAGTTAAATTCTGTGCAGTAAGTACAAAAAACAACTTAATTAAAACCTAGGTCAAGAGTGTCTGGGGCTTCTTATCATCACGCTTAACATAAATAAGAACTGCATTTAATTTGTCAGCAGAAAAACATGGTAGTGTACTGTTTGCTTGAGTCAAAGGCTGCAAAACCCAGCTGAAACCTTCTCAATTTTAAAACCAATGTGTATAGCTAACATTGTTTCGGGTAAAGTAAGGACCAAGTGATTTTCCATTATGCAGATGCCCTTGCTCTTCAGAGGCACCTGAAAGGACATAAAGAACACGGAAGAAAGGGAAAATTCTATATTCAATCCATTCCCTGCTGAGTGCCTTTTGCTCCTCATAAATCGTTCCTAATAGCCTAACAGCTACTGGGGCACATGACACAGGGAGGACTTTTTTAAGCGAGACAAAATAGACAGACTCTCAGCTTATGGTTCATTTTGTGTGCATACGTACACTTCAGTTTTGCAGTAAAAAGGAACCAAACTTCAGTTGGTGATCGAGATCACAGCCCAAAAAACAGTGAGTGAAAAATGCTAAACGATTTACATCAGTAATTTTATAAATATCCCCAAACAAAGTGTTAAGTAACAGACTCTAACTGTTAATCTTTGACAAATTCTGTTACTTAAATCTCAGCCCTTCTAATGAGCATGTTTTTGATAGAGCTTTTAATGGGAAACTAGAAAAAGAGGCATTACAACCCACATCATTATCACAAAAGAATCATTCTTTTATGCATCATGTTATTGGGGGAGAACTTTAACCAAATTTAATATCAACAGATGTAATATATTACTTGTTCATTTACATCCACTGTTACTGAATTGTAATATCTTTATATTTAATAACCTCACCAAGGCATATTCAATAAGTATGTTGCTAATGAAAAATGACTAATTTAATCTAACTGAATAGTAAAGCAGATTACAGACCAAAAATTCATTACAGACTCTGAAAATTATGCTTTTATTCAGAAAATCCTGCTTTAGTAGTTGTGTTTTGGAAATCCAGAAGCTTTCTAAATGTTTTTTTTTTTAAATCTGTTAACTAAAATCACTATCATTTAACCTTAAATTCTCTCCAATCCCAAATGAGACCTTAAAATCGAAAACGATAAATACACATTTGCTAACACTTAAAAAAAGTGAAAAAACAAAGAAAAAAGGGCATAAGCAGCACGCTGTATATGATCAACAGCTAAGCCTATGAAGGTATATTTACACATATATTCATTTTAAGGATATAAGTAGTGTCATTAACATCTTACAGTCATGCAAAAAGATGGTAGCAGTTCTCAAGTGAGCAGGCTGTTCACTACTGATTCACTACAGAAGACACAGTGAATTAATCTGTAATGTAAGGAAAGCCCTTTGAATTGCTATGACCTGAGCCTGCAGAGCCCTATGGGAACGATCAAATCTAAACAGATCCTTGAGTCTCTTTTAGTTGCTAGATTTAGCCGGCCAAGTTATATAAATTATTAATAACAATACCAGTGGACAGTATTTGCAAAATGGCACACTAAGTTGTGAACTTATACTGACTTTAATAGAAAGGAATAAAGTTTAAGAGTGTTTTTGGAAAACATAAAGTACTTATTCTGCTCTATCAGGATATTAAATCTAATTGCACTGTATTAACTGATACTGAAGATATGCATGCAAAATGCTACATAGTAAAGGAATAACCATTAGGATTGGAATGAAAAAATAAGATCAAAAGACATCAAAGAATGTCAACTACTATTTCATTTGCACATCTCAACCTGCAATCTAATCAATTTAAAACCCTGTTTAATTTTTTTTCCATATGTGCTGTAATTAATCAGTTTTTTTTCAACTAACAGGTAAAGCATTCAAACAAACAATCAGATGGATTATTATGCTCCTTCCAGTCAAAGCTAAGCAAAATATCTGAACATCAGGAAGAAACGTAGGAAATATTAGCACTTCAGACAGAACTTGTAAAGCTATTTTAAAATGTTCAGATCAAAACAAGACACTCTGAATCTTTAAACATTTTTAAGTGTTCTTCTTCCATGCTGTACAGAAACTTATGCAAATTACTCTGGCTGATACCTTCAATCCTGGAATAAATCGAGCATCTTTTTCAACTAAAAGGAGTTGTGCAACATCAGCATTGAGGATAGACCTGGTAATTCCCCCTGGCCCAGGGCCCACTTCACACACATGCGCATTTGTCAATTCGCCAGCTTGTCTCACTATCTTATCTGTAAGACACAAAAAAACATACCAAGCCTAATTTTTCCAAAGGATCCAGCTCACTAAGATAAACCCATTGTTTATTGTTGAAATGCAAGTGTGCTTATCTCAGAATAGACACAAACAATGACACATCCCAGTTAAAAGATCACATACATGCTAAGCTGCACAGAATTCAGATTTGTGTCATCCATACGCTCAGCTGTTTAAAAGGACTATTTTCAGTATAAAGCCTTTAATGTGCAATGTCCCTAATTACAGAATTACAGAATATTATTTTTCATCTGTAAACCAGCAACACTATTCTGCTTCTTCAGGAATATACTGGTATTCATCATTGCAAAGTCTCAGTACTTTAAAGGTATTTCACTATAGTAAACCCATTTTGAGGAAAATGAGGAAGGAAAAAGGATGCAGTGAAACACTAACAATATTACAACATGCAGAGATCAATTTTATGGAGGAAGAGCTAGAGTAAAGGTAAGAGTTGGAATCAAGACAATTGGTAATTATAGAAACTGTGGCAGCTAAAAGATCATGAGGAATACCTGCACACACATAAAAAAGTAAGGCTATAATGTTAGAACACATGAAGAGATAACAGCCAGGAAGAAAAAAATAAATAATAAAAGTAAAGTAAGGTTAAAACAAAGCAGCGAATGAAACAAATTGATAAGAAGCATAAAGGGTAATGATGACGGAAAATATGCTGCTCACACCATAAGGTTCTCAAAACCAAAGATATGTGAAGTCTTGTTTGCATGTAAGGTTAGGCTGAACACATGCAGGCATTCTCATTCCATGCTCAGGAATGGGAACTGAGTTTTATGCTCACACCCTAAAACTTCATCAAGTTTTCATTTTCAACTGTAGTCAAATCATCAGACACATGGAAGTGTCATAATAAATACACTGACCAGTGCAAAGCCCAACCACCCCCAGAACAGTTAAGAGTCCCATCACAAATTGAAGAACACTGCCAGTTTTGTCACCCATTGCTGAGACAAAGCTAAAGACAACTGAATGGACCAGAAAAATCTAGTTGGCTTAGAAAGCTACAACATTCCCAGGAATCATAAACACACAAGCTTTTGAATCACAGTATACAGAAAATTAAAATACATAGTAAGTTACAGTACTTTTTAAGATACACAAAAATTTGAAAAGAAAATCTTTCCCTGTTGAATCAAAGCCATAAATTACGACAGTGCCTGAACGGTAATAATATTACTAAGGGTTGTTGTGGCACAGGACTGCATCCAAGCGGGTCTGGAAGATCTCCAGAGACGGAGACTCCACAATCTCTCTGGGCAGCCTGTTCCAGTGCTCTGTCACCCTCCCTCTCACGAATTTTTCCTTAAGTTCCTATGGAACTTTTGGTGTTTCAGTCTGTGGCTGTTTCCTCTACTTCTGTTGGTGGCCACCACTGGAAAGAGGCCGCTCCCTCCTCCCTGTGACCCCCGTGCCCAAGGAGCAGCACCGCCATGGCGGGTAGAAGTTTACCACTGCTCCGTGCCTCTCGGTGTGAGTGTCGTGCTCACAGCACTGGAAGCTTGACAGATGTCATCACACAAATGTAACACTCTCAGCTACAATCTGAGTTCTGAAGAAAACCAGGAAACATATTTTATAGAGGCTAAAATTGCATAAAACATCTCACCTGTCAACCGCAAATCCAATAGAAAGTTCTGGGAAAGCTGTTTCTGTGCTCGGAGACGGAAGAGTTTAATAATCTCTCCAATAGTTGGCAGAGGAGGCAGGCGGAAAGCAGCTGCCTTTCCAGGAACAGCCATCAGCCAAAACTACTGCCCTTCCTCCTACTAAGACATTGAGAAGATGATTCGAGTATATGCAATAGATTCCAGAACACACAACGCTAAAAACTTTAAGTTCACAAACCATGGAAGATTGACACATCATTATACACGTGCTGAGCTTTAATCATGAGTATTTTCATGGCTGTATGCAGTGCTTATGTTAAGCATGTAGTCGTTGCACTTGGGTTAATAGTTATGTTACACAGGTTTGCCAAAACAGCAGGCAGAACAAAAGCCTCTCATAACTGCTCCATCTTTCACTACTTAAAATTGGAAAACATATAAAGGGCAGTCTGTGAGAATTTCAAGTGTTACATATACCCAAGAAGTACTTCATGAAAATTGCCCCCAAAACAAAAAAGAAACTTCTTAAGTTTCTGAACCACAGAAGCACCTTCTCCTCCAAGCAGAAAGATAAGCAGTCCCAGGTGCGGGCCCAGGCCTTAGCTGCTTATTTTAAGGAACTCTGTTCGCTTTGGGGATGACGACAGGACATTCCGTGGACACCTTACAGACCGTGGCACTAACAAACACCGGCCTAAAGCACGTGCACGGTGCCCTATTCTCCTCAGAGCCTCCTGAGGCAGCACCTTTCAGTTTTTTGTATCTCAGCAGGTGTCTCACGACCAGGGCAAAGCCTTGGCTGAACAGGAACCGATTTTTCACGGAAAAGGGGACACAGGCGGCTCCGCCTTCCACGGTCGGTAACGCGCGCACGTTCCCGCCACCCC